GAGAGGGAGAGAGAGAGAGAGAAGAAGAAGAAGAAGAAGAAGAAGAAGAAGAAGAAGAAGAAGAAGAAGAAGGAGGAGGAGGAGGAGGAGGAGGAGGAGGAGGAGGACAAGGAGGACAAGGAGGACAAGGAGAAGGAGAAGGAGGAGGACAAGGACAAGGAGAAGGAGAAGGAGGAGAAGGAGAAGGAGAAGGAGAAGGAGGAGAAGAAGAAGTAGGAGAAGAAGAGAAAGAAGGAAGAGGAAGAGGAGGAAGAGAAGGAGGAATGGGAAGCAGCAAAAATATGATACCCTATAAGGAGCAACAGACACATGCTGTGATTTCCAGGAGGAGGTCCAACACAGAGAAAAATCTAGCAAAGAGTAAGACCACAGAGAACAATTTGATATCATTGCTGGAAGATGTCTGTAACTTTAAAGTGTCATAGATGTGAATTGACTCTCCACTCATGTGCCTTCCCTATTCATATTCCCAAGATCTATGTTCCATGTATGATGCCTAATTGGGTCCATCTTCCTACTGATAATATATGCCCCAGGCTTATAAGTTGAATACTTTATGCTATTTTTCTTATTATACAAGTCCAGCAAATGTCTTTGCTTTAAACTAATTGTGTTCTCTGGGTCGCTAGAAGAAGTAAACCTTTCAATGAAGACTTGTAAGCTAAGGTTCAGAGTGGTGTAGACCCACAAAGCACCTCTGAGTTAGCTTTTCTGGGGAACCCCTGCATAAGAATATGTTCTATGCATGGTACATAATTTGTGGAGTATCATGCAAGACCTTTAATGCTCTTAAAAACCCCTGATTCTAAATAAATGATCTTATCTTCCCTTGGAAAATGCCTCCAAAGGGACAGCTAAGGGGCATGGTGGATAAAGCACTGGTTGTGGAGAGAGGAGGACCTGAGTTCAAATTCAGCCTCAAACACTTGACACTTACTAGCTGTGTGACCCTGTGCAAGTCATCTAACCCCAATTGCCTTGCCAAAAAAAAAATAGAAAAAAAAAAGGAAAAAGAAAATGCCTATAGAGATTTGAACATGATTATTCTATAGGTTGATTATACATATAAATTGCCAACTCATGTCTGTAAGATTGTTTAATGATCTTCTTTTTTCCTGTGTTAAGATGCCCCTATGTACAAATTAACTGTCGTAAAAATAATTTCTGAGGATCCAAACAATTAAAATCTATTTTCTCCCTTAACACAGTTGTCACTTGTCTCTTAAATCATTGTAATATCTTCTAGTGCCCTCAAGGGTATTGATTGGTGAGTACCTCATGTGACTCAATACATCAAGCCAGTCCCCAACATAGTTCACTTTATTCCCTGATCATTTTCTTGCCAACTGCTTTGCCCCAGGGAAGTGTATGTCTTCTACATCCCCTACCCTCTTCCAGTTCTAGAACAATACTTAAATCAATACTATCATCGCTACTGGAAAGGATGAGTCAATAAAGAAAGGGATTTCATCTTAACTTTTGTATTTAATGAATCAATAAGCATTTATTAAGTACCTACTCTGTGCCAGGCACTGTGCTGAGCACTGAGGATACAAAAAGAGAAGCAAAAAACAGGTCCCTATCCTCAAAGATCTTACAATCTAATGGAGGTGAAAACAAGCAAAAAAAAAATAGATACAAAGCAAGCGATATACAGGACAAATAGGAAATAATTATCAAAGAGAAGGCACTAGAATTAAGAAGGTTGAGAAAGGATTCCAGTAAAAGATGGAATTTTAGTTGGGATTTAAAGGAAGGCAAGGAGATCAGTAGGCAGAGCAGATGAGGGATGGCATTTCAGACATGGAGGATAGTCAGAGAAAATTCCTGAAGCCAAGAGATGAAGCATCTTGTTTATGGAACAGAAAGGAGGTCAGTATCACTGGATTGAAGAGTACATCTCAAGGAGTAAGATGTAAGAAAGCTGGAAAGGTAGGAGGGGGGCTAGATATGAAGGGCTTTGGAGGGTTAGAAGGAGAAGAAAAGAGAACCCAGGACAGAACCCTGAGGGGCACTTAACTTAGAGGGTATGATCTAAAAGAGGATCCAACAAAGAAGACAGAGAAGGGACAGTCAGGTAGAAGGAGAACCAGGAGAGAGTGGTGTCCTAAAAACCTAGAGAGAAGATAGCATCAAGAAGGAGAGAGTGATCAACAGTTTCAAAGACTGTAAAGAAGTCAAGGAGAATGAGGATGGAGAAAAAGAACATCAGATTTGCCAGCCAAGATATCATTGGCCAACTGTGTCCAACCTGTGTTAGAGCCTTTCAAGCCCATATTGGTCTGATTAGCCACAGTTGTACACACTGAACCTTGACCCTGACAAAATGATGTCATTTTGGTCTTCTTCAAGCATGATGGACAACAAGCAACCAAGGAACTGTGGAGAGAAAAGTTTCAGTAGAATGATAAGGTCAGAAGCCAGATTATAAGGGGTTAAGAAGAGAATGAGAGAAGAGAAAATGGAGGCACCTATTGTAGATGATCTTTTCAAGGAATTTAGCTACAGAGGGCAGAAGAGATGTCGGGCAATAGTTAATGGGGCTAGAAGGATCAAGTGAGGGTTTATTCAGGACAGGGGAGACATGGTCAAGTCTGTAGCCAGTGATTTTAGAGAAATCAGTTTCTTTCCTCCCAAGAGCAGCTTTCAGTAAGATTTGTTAGTGAAGCACTTATCATATAGCACTTCTAGAATTCATGATAGATTTGAGTATTAAATCAAATAGGTTGAAAATGAATTATTCCTTACAGAGAGTGAGAAAACATATTCACACATATTAGAGCAAATGAACAGAAGTGTTTTGTTGAGTTAAACATAGGCTTAGTAGTTTCATACAAAAGGCCCCAAGAAAAGTAAGTTTTCATTAGAGCTAATATTCTCAAATAATACCCAGGGAAGAGGAAAAAATGCAACTGACATCAAGATGGAAGAGAAAATTAACTAAGTAGAATTACCACAATAGACCAGCTAATAAAGGTCTAAGAACTCGGTCGTGAAAAACTAATGTAAAATCATGCCAGAGCTGAGCAGGCCTTATTTAACACAAGCCAGAATTAGCACAGATTCATCTTTCTGCTCTTAACTGTACAGATGTGCAAAAATGGGAAGGGTGTGCTAAAAGTGTTTTAGAAACTTACAGATGGACCGCATTCCAAGTTTACAAATTTCCTTCTTACAAGCCTACATTACTCAAGCAGACAGGGTAATCAAGGTAAGTTTGGCATAACACATGAAAATAAATTCCTAGCCTGGGAATCTACCTCAGGACATGGTGCACCTCCCCTTTCTCCGTGTTAGAAGAAAGCAAGTTTTCTTTTCCTGTGAGTTCTGAAAGGGTAGTAAGAGAGAGCATATTCAACACATTTCAATTCAATGACTGTCAATATCTATGGAATCAACACTCTGGCTTCACCATTTGCGGAATTAGGATTGTTTTTAAATTGGAGGCACAATTAAGACTTCAAAATCCTTTACAAAAAAACATTTCATCTCACACAAATCTGATTCAGCCTTCAAAATCTGCAGTGGCCCCATCCACAATTTCCAAGGTCACATTCCATCTGCCTACTTCCTGTCCTCATCTCATATCACTGAACAAAGAGCATTTAAGCACCTGCCCATAGCAAATATACACAGTCTACCCCCTCTAGGAGCACACATTCCCATGGAAACCAAACAGTAATAACTTATATTTATACAGTACTTTAAAGGCTAGAAAACATGTTTATATACATCATTTTATTTGGTTTATATAGCAACCTTAAACCAAGAATAGATTTTTTTTAACTCTTATCTTACAGACAAAGAAAACTAGACTTGTAGAGGTTTAATTGACTTGCTCAAAGTCACACAGATAGTTAACAGTGAAAGCAAAAATATTCCCAGTCCACTGCTATTTCTACTATATTATATAGCCTTCCTAATGACATAAGAAAGGAAAAGATATTTTTTAAAATTATACTTAAGTGCCCACCCTCCACACTATTATTTGATATGGTTCTGAAAATGTTAGCAACAACTATAAGACAAAAGCAATAGCAGCATAAAGAGGAGATAAAACTATCCCTATGTGCTGATGATATATGATAGCATATTTGGAAAATCCTACAGAATCAGCAAAGATACTAATTGAAAGAGTTAATAGTTTCATTGAGGTTGCAGGTACAAAATAAACCCTTGAAAATCAATAGTATAAGAACAAAGCAAAGATGGTTGAGTAGAGGGAGCATTCTACTTGAGATCTCCCAACATCTTTCCCCAAGCAACTTTAAAATAACATGACAAAGCAAATTCTGGAACAGCATAGCCAATAAAAGGTTGAGGTGAGATCCTTTTCAGTACAGGACAACTTAGGAGGTTCAAAGAAGAGGTCTGTGGCACTGGAGTCAGAGCTAGCAGGGAAAGGAGGGTGGAGGCAATGCCAGCTGTAGGTTTTGGAGGTTGTAATGGCAACAGAAGCAGCAGCAGCAGCAACAGCTGTCCCAGGAGCTGTCACCACCCAAAGAAGGTAAGGGGATTGAATACCTGATCAGAAAGAGATTCTAGGGGACTAAGTGCAGGTACTAAGCACAGGACTGGGTGCCATTGGCAACTCTTTCATTACCCAGTTCCAGGTTGCAGTTCAAGGGTAAAGAGGGAGCAGGAACCGTAGTTCCTAGGTTCAGGGCAGAGAGTAACTCTAGAGTTTGCAGGCATAAAGGAGCAGAGGACTTTCCTGGGTAAGGACCAGAATACAGACCAGGAAAGCAGTGACTATACCTCTCCCAGGTCAAACCACCTTGGAATCACTGAAAACTTACAGACTCATAGAACTAATCGTGAAAACAGCAGTGCAAAAAAGCCTGAATCTTGGGATATGAGCCCCACATTCCCCAGGGTGAGCAGAGTACAACCCTAATATAAAGTTCAAAGTCAAGAAGAAAGACTGGAAAAATGAGCAAACAACAACAACAAAAGAGCCTGATGATATAAAGTTACTATAGTGACAAGGAAGTTTAATACATAAACTTAGAAAAAGATAATGACATGAAAACATATTTATGAGTGTTTTTTTTTAAATGCAGATTGGACACAAGTCCAACAAGAATTCCTAGAACTAAAGAAAAAGACCAAGGGGAAAGAGAGAGAGAGAGAGAGAGAGAGAGAGAGAGAGAGAGAGAGAAGGATTTTAAAAATCAAATAAGAACAGTAGAGAAAAGTTGGGAAAAGAAATGAGAGTAATGCAAGAAAATTATGAAAAGGGAATTAACAGCTTGACAAAAGAGGCACAAAAAATACTTAAAGTAAGTCCTTAAAAAACAGAACTGGTCCAACAGAAAAAGAGCACAAAATGTAACTTCCTTAAATGGAAGAATTGGCCAAATTGAAAAAGAGGCATAAAACTTCAGTGAAGAAAATAATCCTTTAAAAATTAGAATTGAATAAGTGCAAGTTAATGACCCCATGAGACACTGAGGAACAGTAAAACAAAGTCAAAATACTGAAAAAATAGAAGAAAATGTGAAATATCTCAACAGAAAAATGGTAGACCTGGGAAACAGATCAAAGGGAGATAATTTAAGAATCATTGGCTACCTGAAAGCAATGATTTTAAAAAGAGTTTAGATATCATATTTCAAAAAATTATAAAGGAAAATAGCTCTGATATTATAGAACCAGAGGGCAAAATAGAAATTGGAAAACTCCATTAATTACATTCTAAAAGACATTCCAAAATGAAAATTCTCAGGAATATTATAGCCAAATACCAGAGCTCTCAGGTCAAGAAGAAAATATTGCAGGTAGCCAGAAAGAAACCATTCACAAAACACGAAACTACAGTCAGGATCACACAATAGGTACTATGATAAAGAAGCAGAAGGATTGAAATATATTCCAGAAGACAAAGAAGCTAGAATTACAACCAAGAATAACCTACCCAGCAAAACTGAAGTTAATCCTACTGGGAAAAATGAACATTTAATGAAATGGAGGAATTCCAGGCATTCCTGATAAAAGTTACAGAGCTAAATAGAAAATCTGAAAATCAAACACAAGACTTGAGAGGTATAAAAAAGCAAACATGATTGAGAAATAATGAGGAATTTAATACGTATAAACTGTTTTTATTGCCAAATGGAAAAATAACCCACAAGAACGTTATCATCTTTAGGGCAGTTAAAAGGCATATACTTAGAAGGCATGGGTGTGAGTCTGTTATTTTGTGATGATCTCAAAAGAAAAGTGGAAGACTGAGAAAGAGGTATTTACTGGTAGAAGTGGGAAAGAAGAGAAGGAATGAGGGAAATTATCTCACATAAAAGAGATGTGCAACGAAAAGTTTTTGCAGTGGAATAGTAAATGGGAGGGAATGGGCAACATTTGAACCTCAGTCTCATCTAAACTGGTTCAAAGAGGGAAGAATACATATACACACTCAGTTGGGTATAAAATTCACCTTACCCAAAAGGGAAGTTAGAGGTGAAAAGGCTAAGAGAAAAGCAGGGGCTAAGAGAAAGGTGGGGGAGAAGGAAAGTGGATGAAGGGATGAAAAGGTCAGATGCAAGAAGCAAAAACAGACTTTTGAGGAAGGACAGGAGAGAGGGGGAGAAAGAGGAGGGAGAGACAGAGACAGAGACAGAGAGAGAGACAGAGACAGAGAGAGAGAGAGAGAGAGAGAGAGAGAGAGACAGGAGAAAATAGGATAGAGGAAAATAGAGTTGGTAAGCATAATTGTGAATATGAATGGGATGAATTCACCCATAAAAAATCAGCAGCAGAAAGGATTAGAAACCAGAATCCAAAAATATGTTGCTTACAAGAAACAAACTCAAAATCAAATGACATACACAGAGTTATAATAAGAGTTTATCAAACACTTACTAGCTGTATGACCCTGGGCAAGTCACTTTACCCCTGTTTGCATTTGTTTCCTAAAATGGGAATAATAATAAAAGAACATACCTCTCAGTTTATTGTGAAGAGCAGATGGAATAATATTTGTAATAGTGTTTAGCAGAGTGCCTGGTACATAGTAGGTGCTATATAAATGCTTTTCCCTTCAACATTTAATTTTTTTTTAAATTTACAAATTTGCCATCAGCTCTTACAGTGTATAATTAAGAATTAGCTATATTGAAAATGCTAAGAGCTTGGAATTTGGATGACAAAAATGACAACAGGGTTTGTTATTTTTTAAAAAAGCAGACAACCAACAAATTGGTGATTCCAAATTTGTAAAAATTGACCTTTCCATCTGCAAATTCTCATTTAATAGTTCAAGTAGACCTAAAATGACCACATGATTTTACCACCCTAAAGTTAAGCTGAAATTTTGCCTTCTAGAATAAAAATTTGGGATATCTTGACAGAGAAGACCAAAATATGATCAAAACAAAAAATTTCTCTGGAGAAATAGTGAATACAATAACTATTACTCTAATATCTGTGGTGATTTTTAAAGTGATTGATCTTTTAGCACAGAGATACTTAATATTTATTTCTGATTAAGACAACAGAGTCTAGGGATAAAAAATGCTGGCCTAAAAAAAAAAAAAAGAAGTGATTTGATGAAAGAAAAAAATAGCCATCAACTACTGCTTAGTTTGGGAAAAAATAAATCTTATGACTACTGTACATTAAACCTTAATTAATTTTTAATTGTTAGAATTGAAAATAATTTGATTAAAAATAAAATAAGGGGCTAGAGTAAAATCTATTATGTTTCAGCTGAAATTTAAAAAAAATACGGAGGTAGTGATAATGATCTCAAAGAAAACAAAGCAAAAATAGACCTAATTAAAAGAGATAAGCAGGGAAACTAAATTTTGCTAAAAGATATCATAGACAATGAATTAATACCAATACCGAAAATATATGAACAAATGATATAGCATCCAAATTCTTAAAGGAAAAGTTAAATGAATTACAAGAGGAAATGGACAATAAAACCATACTAATGAAGAACCTCAATTTACCTCTCTCATAACTAGATAAATCTAGTTATAAAATAAATAAGAAAGAAATTAAGAAGATGAATAGAATTTTAGAAAACTTAAATTGAATAGATATATGGAGAAAATTTAATGGGAATAAAAAGGAGTATACCTTTGTCTCCTTCACAAAAACTGACCACATATTAGGGCATAAAAACCTCATAAACAAAAGAAGAAAAGCAGAAATATTAAATGTACCCTTTTTAGAGTATAATGCAATAAAAATTAAATTCAATGAAGAGCCTTGGAAACATAGATTAAAAATTAATTGGAAACTAAACAATCTAATCCTAAAGAATGAGTAGGTCAAATAATAATCATGGAAACAAACAGTAATTTCATTAAAGATAGAAAAATAGAAACAATAAAACAACATACCAAAATTTATAGGATGCAGTCAAAGCAGTACTTAGGGAAAATTTTATATCTCTAAACACTTACTTCAATAAAAGAGAAAAAAGTAAGTCAATGAATTGGGCATGCAACTAAAAAAAGAACTAGAAAAAGAACGGATTAAAAATCCCCAATTGAACACCAAAATAGAGATCCTGACCACCAAAGGAGACATTGATAAAATTTAAAATTTAAAAATAAATTAACTAAAAATAAAAGTAGGACCTGGTTTTACAAAAAAATAAAATAAAATAGATAAATTATTGGCTAATTTGATGTAAAAAAATCTGTTACTGGCTAAGAAATAGAGCAGTATACCAGTAGAATAAATTAGGTATACAATACACAGTAGTAAATGACCATAATTACCCAGTGTTTGATGAACCCAAAGATCCCAGCTTTGGGCACAAGAACTCATCATTTGACAAAAATTGCTAGGAAAAGTGCAGAGCAATTTGGCAGAAAACTAGGCATAGACCAACATATCACACCATATACTAAGATAAGCTAAAAAGGGATTTATGATTAAGACATAAAGGGTAATATCATAAGCAAATTAGAGGAGCATGGAAAATTTATCTGTCATATCTATGGATAAGTTGAAATTTATGACCAAACAAGAGACAGAGAGGATCATAAGAAGTAAAATGGGTTATTTTGATTGAGCAGAACCAGGAGAATATTGTACACAGTAACAACAATATTATAAGGATTATCAACTATGAAAGACTTATTTACTCTGATCAAGACAATAATCTAAGACAATTCCAAAAAAAAACCCCAAAATTATGAAATTCCAAAAAATAATTAAAAATGTTATTCTACTCTGGAGAGAGAATAGATGAACTCTGAAAGCAGATTGAAGCATATTTTTCCCTTCTTTATTTTTATTGCTTGGCGGGGGGGAGTGGATAACATGGCTAATATGGAAATGCTTTGCCTGACTTTATGTGAAATGGGGGTCATATTTCTTGCCTTCACAATGAGTAGGCAGAGACAAGAGGGAGGGAGAAGAATTAGAACAGAAAATAAAAATAAGATTTTAAAAATTGCTGTGAACTTTCTCTTCTACCCTCTTCCTCATCTCGTATCACTCAGATGCCTTCTGCTACTCTCTACTCCTTCACTCCTGTTTCACATG